TAAAAGTATAACAATTGCTTGTTGAAAAAGTGTTACTAATATGTTTTTTTCCAATGCTGCAAAACCTACTGGACTGTTGTACTTACCTTACCCTAAGTATGATCCCTATTGTTTTTGGTGCATGCCCGACCCCCAGGGACAGAGCCACGCCCATTCCTTATATTTATTTATTTGTTTGTCATCTACAGACCGCATTTCTTAACGTATCATCTTGAAACTATGCATACTTATTATTTGTACCCCAAGGAACATCCCTATCGTTTGGGGTGCATGCCCGACCCCAGGGGCAGAGCCACGCCCATTTTCTTTTCTTTTTATGTCTGTGTGTCGCCTATAGGCCACACTTCTTAATCAATCGTCTTGAAAAATTTTCATATGAATTGCTTATACCCTAAGTATGATCCCTATTGTTTTTGGTGCATGCTCGCCTCCCCGGGGCAGAGCCACGCCCATTTTTTGTATTTGTTTGTTTGTCGTCTACAGGCCACATTTCTTAACGTATCATCTTAAAACTTTGCATACTTATTCTTTGTACCCTAAGGAACATCCCTATCGTTTTGGGTGCATGCCCAACCCCCAGGGGCAAAGCCACGCCCATTTTCTTTTTTATGTCTGTGTGTCGCCTACAGGCCACAATTCTTAATCAATCGTTTTGAAATTTTTTCATATGAATTGCTTATACCCTAACGATGATCCCTATTGTTTTTTTACCCCCAGGGGCAGAGCCACGCCCATTTTCTTTTCTTTTTATGTCTGTGTGCCACCTACAGGCCACAATTCTTAATCAATCGTCTTGAAAAAATTTCATATGAATTGCTTATACCCTAAGGATGATCCCTGTTGTTTTTGGTGCATGCCAGACCGCCAGGGGCAGAGCCACGCCCATCCCTTATATTTATTTATTTGTTTGTCATCTACAGATCGCATTTCTTATCGTATCACCTTGAAACCTAGCATACATATTCCTTCTATCCTAAGGAACATCCCTATTATTTGTGGTGAATACCCAACCCCCAGGGGCAGAGCTACGCCCATTTTCTTTTTTTTATGTCTGTGTGTCACTTGCAGACCGCATTTCTTAATCGATCATCTTGAAAACTTTTTTATACTTATTCCTTATAGCCTAAGGCTACTTTTTATACTTATTCCTTAATCCTAAGGCCGACCACTATTATTATTTTTGGTGCATGCTCGACCCCTACAGACCGCAATTCTTAACAGATCCTTTTGAAACTTTGCATACCTATTCGAAACGTCATGCTTTTAGAATAAAGACATCGATTGTTTTAAAATAAAAATTGTGTTCTGTTAATGTGAACGAAGTGTTAAACTGATAGCAGTCCTACAACCCAGTTTTATTTCACAGACCCTCAATGCAAACTGGACCATATCAAACAAAACAGGAATGTGGACGTATATTGCTGCGTTAGCGATGCTCTTGTTAGTCTTGCTTCCCTTACTGTTATCGAGCCCTAATATAACACTAATTTTACTTTTCTTTTAATTGAATACCACGAATTTGTACTGAGTTGACTATGGATTAAATTATATTGTCTGGAGCCACTCTACTTTGTGCGACATTTTTCGGGCATCGATTATTTTTTGTGAATGCAGCTGCAACAGTCTGATTGGATGGTTGGGATTCAGAGTGGGATTTCGGTTACAAAACCATTGGATACTTTTGGAGTTTACACAGGCTAGAATAGCAGTAAAAGTATTTGCTGTGGTTAAATTTTCAAAATTTTCTCCGGAAGGGTATAACCCCGAACCCATGGATTGGTCCACTGAAATAACGCCAGAATGCGCTAATTTATAGTATTCCGCCACATGATTGACACTCATTGGATGGTTAATCCAGGATAAATACGATTAGAATTTTAATATTTTTTTTCCGCCAGTTCTAAAAAGGATCGCCAGTATCGCAAAACATTATCGTCAAACGGAGGGCCTGACAAGGACAGCCGTCTAGTCGTTCGAATGGGACGAAAATCCGAGGTCCCGTGTGCACATTGGTGTGAACGTAAAAGATCACTTGACAGTTGGAATTCGATATAAGAGTAGACCGTAGTATGGTGTATGTCCGTCTTCATTAGCCTAGTTCGGAGCAGAATTGTAGGACGTTAAACCCCATTTCATTTCATTTCCATCGGAACTTTGTTCCTGAAAGCACAAAGATACATGTACACTGACAATTAAACATTGGATATATTAACTAATATTTATAGTAAAATATTTTGTAATAAATTTTATTCACACTCAACACGTTTAATCTATGTTAAATTGTGCACTAATAATCCACTATTGAATGTGCAAATGTCCAGTTGAATGATTGATTGGAAAATATGATTGTTGCAAATGTATTACTATGCATTAGCGGTTAGATGTGGAAAGCCCACATGCTAAGAACTCCCCACAGTCGACGTGTGACGCATACTTATATTCTCTTTTCTGCTACATATTTTATTAGCCTCCTGGTCCTCTAATATTCTAGTTTTATTTGTAATTCTTTACTTAGGACTTCACTTTAAACGTTGTAAATTTATTTTCAGCGTACTCGGTGTAGGGTTACAGGAATAACAATACCACAGTTTGTTTCTAAAGTTTTATGTCAAGCACCGGATACATAGGTTACAAGCATAGGTTACATTACCACACTTAAAATTAACATGTCTTTCTCGCTACCCGATCGAGTTTACTGACGGGACACGCTATATCATTTGGTTCTCCTACAAATCAATGGGTTCTACTCAACCCAGATGGCATGTCTTGAACCTGAGCGGTCTCTTCAACGATTCTACGTGATTCTGCTCTTTAAGAATCGAGCAGCTGTATGTCGGTCCAGCTTAGTCCAGGTTCAGGTATGTGGTATGTAAATTTAGGTTTGACTGAGCCCGCCGCCTGTCCGACCTAGGTTTGGGTATACGTGTACAAGCAATATTTTCGGGATGATCACTTATGGATGCCGTCTGTTGGGTCTTGGGGTAAAACCTCAAGTCTTCAAGGTTCGGAACACTGAGAGCCGTGTTAAGGGAGCTCAGTTTATCCGCGAGGGCTTTCCTTTCAGCTGTGAGGCGAGCACAGTGTACTAGAATATGAGTTGGAGATACGTCCGTAAAACCTCAAGTCTTCACAGAGTAAAACATTGTTTTCGTCCCTCCGGGGTCACATCATAATATCTAAGATACCAATGTCTCACACGAATTCGTAGATTAACTCATAGATCTCGTGTTTACTTACTCTATGATAGAGTAGGTTCGGAACACTGAGAGCCGTGGGGGCTCAGTTTATCCGCGAGGGCTTTCCTTTCAGCTGTGAGGCGAGCCCAGTCTACTAGAGTATGAGCTGGAGACATGTCCGTGCCGCAGCTGCACCTTATAGGCTTAAAGGTACGGTACCTGAGTGTTTCTTTAACCTTCAGCTTTGTTATTAACCGGCAGATTTTCCTGCTGGGATGATTTACGGATAACTTATCGTTTAAGGTATCATACGTATGTGTTGAGCTCCGCAAGGGTATTGTCCCATTCAGAGCTGACGCGAAGCCCAACCATACTTTTAAATTCGTTCATGCTATAAGGGAGTTCGACACTTGGTTCTTCCAGTTTTGACCCTTTTAGGGCGAGCCTGTCCGCCTTTTCGAGCCCCCCTCCCCTCGGGTTCACAAGCAAGGGGACCCATGTCAATACTATGTGGTTGCCCTTAGCCAGGGACTCTGTGTACGCTAGGTAGATCTGAATCAGTAGTTGGGGACGGGCGTCAGATCTCTGGTTCCGTATTGACCCCAGACTACTTAGAGAGTCATTGAGGACAACATACATGTAGTGGATTTCCTTTGGCTGGATATCCACACTACGGCTTCTTTGATCGCGTACTTTTCCGATGTGAACACAGAGCACATGTTTGACAGTCTATTTACTGCCTGCAACTCTTTTCCCGTGATATAAATCCCGAAGCCCGTCGTACCGTTCTCGGGGTTCTCCAATTTGACCAGTTATCCTCGATATGAGCCAAAGAGAGATGCTTGGCCGCCAATGGGTTATTCCCTTTATCTACCCTCAGGACGAGGGAGGTATCTACCGGGGGGTACTGGGACAGTCCAAGGGGCCTAAATCATATCATCTATACTATTAAGGGTAAGTTCTTATGGTTTTCTACCCTTGGGTTTCGGTTTTCAATTATCTAATTGATTATGATGATTGGTTACTTAAGCCTAACGACCCTAGACCCATACCAAAGTTAATATTTTGTCAATGGAGAGGACAGATAAAACATATGTATTTATCAAATTATAAATCATGTCCTCTGGTGCACTTATATTCGCCTAATGTAACTTAGAAAAAAATTACCAAACAGTTTTACGGTACTCCATAGAAAAAAATTTGCTTCACAGAAATTATATTTAGTTAACAAATTCTATATAAAACCTTCAAAATGCTTATAATTCGAACACAAATGAAATATAATCTAATACTAAGTTATTCTTTGAATAACGATACCATCTCAGTTTATGATATTTGACTTTTACATTTTTAATGAGAAAATACACATTGATTTTAATAAATTTAATTCCGACGCATTTCTTGTCGGCGACACTGAGCAGGCAAACACCAGACGCACACAATACTGTTTCTAGTCTCTGGTTTTTCGGTAACGACGTGATTTCCATATCGTGTTCAGGGTTATATACCATGATCAGATTGTACAAAACATAGCGACATCATTCATCAAAATAAAAACAACAATCTCCATTATAAAAGCGTCGTGCTTTGGAATTAACTTATAAAAGTCCTATAGTTTGTGGGTGATCTATGGTTGACCGGTAAACGTTATCAACAGTGTGTTGGGCTGTGTAATTGGTTCTGTAAGGAAGATCACAGACAAATAATCCTTGTTTTGAATAACATTTGGTGATGGAGCGATAGTTTTATTTAGTTTTATGGGCCTGCATATCTTTTATGTGATCTTATTATGAACAACTTTCAAACAATTGTCGAAACGAAATTGAAAACCTTTTTTTATTCAGTTTTACGATAGCCGAGGTACACATATAATAATTTGCTATTGATCGCTTCTGGTTACTATATAGATCAATATATTATTTACATAACATTTCAATATGTATGATAAAATAAGGTATTAAATCACAAACGTATATACTTTATGCGCGCAGATATTACAATACTTAAATACGATGATCAAAATTTATCAATAAACATAAAAACATTAGTTTTACATAAATACACGTGTAAATGAGGAAACCTATTGTAACCGGCAGTAACACCTATCTGACATTATAGAAATCACAAACATACTGGGCAACACAAGTCAAAGTGATAAAAAATCTAAGACACAATCCAATATACTTTTGACAGCACAAGCTAGTACCGATTTACATTTTAATCTTCTTTGATTAATTCAAAGACTGTACCATTCCACACGTAGGAAACATTTTGCTTGGTGTTCCTCAATCTGATTAAAATACAGATCTATATTTCGTTTCGTTTTTTATAATTTCGATGGCCTACATTACATGAAGATCTGACCGGTTGGAGCCATAGGTCGCGTCAGAGGTCATATGAGCGACATTTCATTAACCAATCAACATTGATGTTACTTGTGGATTACCCACAGTTCCGTGCAAAATACGCCTAAAGTTCGCCGTAACAGACCGTTTCATTGGCTAATCCTTCAAAAACGTCAATGATAACAACTTCCAGATCCTAGTGTAGTAAAGACAAGTAAAACGAAATTTTGAGCTATAAAAACGAAACGAAATAGGATCTGTGTTTTAATCAGATTGGCTGTTCCTTAACTGAAATAAAATTTCTTCAGTTTGCAAGAGAACCACAAAAAGCATGGATGAAAATTGAATGAATAGGAATAAAAAATGCTATAATATTTTATTCATTGTAGTGAAATGTGAAACACAGGTAGGGGAGAAGGCAATACCGATTATCTCCCCTTTCTTCTAAAGACATATTTACAGATTATTATTTTCAGAAATACACACTAAAATATTCACAATATGCTTATTAATAAATCATTTCAAATAGAAGTTTACATACATTACTACACAACAGTTGAATGCTAAACTCAAGGGGCGTTCATTCATATAACGACGTGTGAATAAATGAAAATGACACAACACAAACTTCTCTATTTAAATAGATGTATAATTTATATAGTATTAACATCATTGGCACACAAAATCTAACTACTAAAATAATATATCGAAAAATTTGATATTGATCGGTCAACTACATAAATAGGATATCACGTAAGCTCTTTATATATTAAAGAAGCATATATTTCGAAAGTTGAAAATATGCTGTATTTTAATGTGAAGTCTGTTGTTGTTATTATGAAATAAACACATTCAGGCATAAAAAACTTACTTATGAAGAATGGGCTGGCTTGGTAGAAAAGGGTAACGGAATTATTATTACACACAATAAAAAATAAACCTTGATTTAATAAAAGTATTTTTGATTTAACATATATTCTGGCATGTTGAAGCGTTAATAGAATATAAATTACAATTGGCATACACACTATCTTACGGTTGTTAAAATTAAAACATACATCTACGACTAACTACTGTAATCATCCACATAAATCGGCGATGGTCGCAAACACAATGAACGCCCGCTATTGCTATCGATAGTCTGTAGAGGTAACCTCACAAACTTGTCTCAAAAATGTAATACGATGCCTTTAAGTGTTGTGTAATCTCAATAAAAATGTATTCTTCACCCCAAACGACACGTTTTAAAATACAAGTGCCTTAACTCAAATCTTAGAGTTTTATGTAATTGAAATAATGAACGCCAAAGAACAGCTTTATACAGAAATGGGTCAAGTTTAGATCCGATGTGAGTAATTTTATCTTTCATAATACCCCGTTAATCTCAAAAGTTGTAAAATGTTCATGTGACGCCAGGCAGGGTAAGCTTACTCTTCCGGACACCTGTTACCACTGTTTGTCGCGTATTTTGCACACGGCGAACAGTCCATATGCTGATTACACTATTTTGCCTTATTACACTATTTTACCTATATCGTTTTTTTAGGACTTCGAATTTGGTCTAATGGTTTGGATTGTTCGTACTTGGTTTTATTTTATTTATCTTAAACATCATTTATTTACACAAAACCGACGGGGAAACAGACCTTATAACGGGCGAACATGTGTGGCGATAATATACGACTGTATACATTACTAAATAATTTGTACATTAAGACAACTCGTCAAACATGAAAAAAGATTCAAAATTGCAAACAACACGATATAAATTTCATGGATTACCAAACAGAAACCAAGGAGTATCGGTTGGTTTGTTGCTAAATAAATATAATCTGCCAGTCTAATTTTTAGAAATTAAAATTTGGACAATCTGATCCTAAACTATTGACTACACAGTTGTATAAGATTTACTACATTTTATTTATGTAAAAGGACTGAAACTGCCGTTAAATATAACCATTGCTTGTGATCATAAATTTCGATATCTTATCAACATGCAACATTTATTCAATAAAGTCAATTAACTTCTCCATGTAGGGCGTTATATAGTGTTTACTACATCAATATTCTCATCAAAACTATATTAAATCACAAAGACAGTCACCTAATCTGAAACGCCTTCTAACCAAAGCAAAATCCAATTCATCTATCACAAGGACCGGTTTTTATGTATCTAAATGCCCGAACCTTCGGTGTACATGTTACGACCATATAGCGCCATGTAACAAATACAATTTTCATATTATAATAACTTTACTTTTAGTGTCAACGATAATATGAATTGTGACACAAAGAATCTCTATATTATGTCCTGACTTGCAATGGTGGTCGAAACTTTTACATCGATGACTTGACAAAAACAAAAATAATGGAAAACCATTTTATTCAAAATACATTCCTCGACTTATTAGTTAACAAGTAACAATGGGTCATTGATTTAATTAATTTTCTTAATCTATCCCGAGACTATTTTCCACTCTTTGTTCCTAAATTGTACCCATACACAACAGATTAACACACGTGTATACTTGTTTTCTGTTAGTAACCTATATACTATGTAACCATAGACAATGGTAACTATAGACAATTAAAACCACAGTGTTACTATGTAAATATGTATAAATTATAGTATGGTGTCCATCTGTATGCAATGGCATTATGTATGAATAGTCCCAAGACGAACGACAAATACCTTAAAATGTTATTAAACCAGTGTTGAAATCAGTTTGTATCGGCATACCTTTTTATCTTTTCTGGTTTCATCAAATAGATTTGACGAGAATATAAATGTAGTAAATACCATATAACGCCCTAGGTGGATAAATGAAGTTAATTCTATAATAAACCCGAATTTGTACATTATAATTAGATTGCATAATGGGGATTGGCTGTGATATTAAAGATAGAAAAATGTACATTATGTAAGGATGAATATAATACAAAAAGTGTTTTATCACAAACAGGAAGAATACATTAACAGTGTTAACCATCAAACTATGGTCTGTGTTTTACCCTGTCGTCTACTACACGTACCATCGTAAGCTGTATATGTAAACTGAAATCAAAGAAAGTTACAATCACTTCCAATATAAATACTCGCCTGAATACAGAATATTATTTACTTTTTAAATCCAGATATATCTTATAGAGTATTATAGTAATACCACAGACTATAATAGAAGACTTACTGTTGTTGATCGTAATGGTGTCCGCACTCCCATCGATTCATCATCCGAAACACCACTTATAGATAACCTAAATTTAGATCGGGCTTCTTTTTTAAATGATACCTTCAAGTGAAAAAAAAATATTAAGATTTTAATAACTTTCTTTTAACAATTTAGAACATGTCAACATATTATTCACGCTAAAATATTGTGCAACCACGGTGACTCAGTGAGTAAAGCTCTGTGGTTCAGGGCCGGTAGTAGAAAATGCGGGGCCAAATTACTATGGTTTATTTCACTGAGACGTTTCAACAAGATTTCATAAGTCGTTTTGAAGCATCAACACAAATTTGTGTCTAGTATACACAGTTAGAATTCTACGCAGGTATGGCTGAAACACCACTGCCTCGGCACACTGCATGACGTAGAAAAGTAATACGTTACATCCCGTTTCCTTTCTAACATATTGTTCAATCTACAAAGATCTAACACAATTACATATTGTTCAATCTGCCCAAATCTACTACAAAGAACTAACATATTGTTCAATCTGCCTAAATCTACTACAAAGATCTAACACCATTAACACATCGTTCAATCTACCTAAATCTATCATGTAACCATGTTGCGCCTTGACTAAAGGCTTTTCTCCTTGTGTGAACCTGGCACAATCTCTGTCACAGATAAGCCCAAAGTCATTTTGTATTATGGTAAAAGCGTACGTGTATGTACAATACGTTCCACAATAATCCCAAATGACATCGGGCTTATGTACTACCTACATTTATATCGTCCACACATTGTTCAATTTACCTAGATACGAGGGCTGGTTGAAAAGTTCTAAGGCTGAAAAGGATAGATCAATTGGTTGAAATAAACTTTTGCCACCAACAAGTACAATCACTGAATGAATCATAGACATGAGAACTGCAATTGTAGTGTTATTGTTGTCATAGTACCAGGCCATCTTGTGAACCTACCAGAAATGAACAAAATTGTCTATAGGGCAGTCATCAAGCACCTGCAAATGAAATGACTAACCCCAACAAAGATACATGCCGACATGGTCTCCACTTTAGGAAATGATGCCCCCTTCCGTTTCCGCAGTAAAGAATTGGGCTGTGGAATTTAAGCGTGGCAGAAAGAGCCTCGACGATGACCTGCGTCCTGGAAGGCCATCATTCAAGAAAACATTACCCGGGTGCATGGCATGGTGATGGAGGATCGACGATTGGCCATTCAACATGCCAGCGTTGTGGACATCTCTGATGAGAGGGATGAGCACATTATCGCCAACGGATTTGGAATGACAAAAGTTTCTACAGGATGGGTGCCAAAGCTCCTGACTGCCGTTTTGAAGCAGATTCTGGTAAAGTTTTGGTCAGATTTGTAACCATGGAAAATGAAACAGGAACTAGCCAGTCGTCATTTTCCTAGTCTTGCTGCCGATGTCGACTTTTTTTTAAGATGGCTGAAGAAAATTTTTTTCTAATTGGCATCCAGGCCTTGCCTCATCGTTGGCAAATGTTTGTCCACTTCGAAGGGGACTATATAGAATACGAAATGGAAACCATTGACTCTGTACAGGTCTTTCACAGATAGGCTTAGAACTTTTCAGCCAGCCCCCGTATATTTATATCTTTGAAGACATTGTTAATAAACTTTGGTATTGTTGGCACAAACATATTGTAAATAAAAATGATATTCCTTTAATTTTCCGTGCCATTTTGTGACAGAACTATAGTGCAAGGTAGATTATTGTTTTATTTGTGATTACTGCTTATCGAAATGCGGTCATACTACTATGAGAGGAAGGTTTGGTTGTATGAGACAATCACTTGTTTTAATCACACTGGAGTTAAAATACTTACATTCTGTTTTCTGGAGTCTATTTTAGCTTTATAAAGAAATTCTAACACAGCAGCAACTACAGACAATGCCAATCCAACAACCAGTATATAAAATATCCCTGCTACTTTTGTTAATGTTAACGAATTTTCTGTACTTTCCTTGCAAAATAAACCAAGAGGATATATTAAATTTGTTAACAAATATTACACAAAATATACAATTTTACGATTTTAAAAATAAGTTCGAGGGCTTCAAAGAAACACTAAAGGAATACCCCCCCCCCCCGCAACAAGATTACGCATGAGTTATGTCCCTTTCTTATCATGCGTGAAAGACTTTATGCCTTTTTAACGACATCCTAAATCGTTTTCGATTTTCTTTTAAAGATATTCAAGATAATAATCACAATGTTAGAAATGTAAGGTGATTACCCTGTACAATAATCTAAAGGTATCATCATTTTATGTGTCGATAAATATGTGGTACTTGAGTATGGTAAGTATGTGTCGTGAAAAATGCCTAATGTCTATAGACGCAAAGAAAATCTAAAGTGACCATCTTTCTATGTGTCGATAAACGTGTGTTTTTAGCAAGTGTGGTACTCAGTACGGTAAGCGAGTGTCCTTTAAAACGCTTTCTCTTTTCTTTCATATAAGCTTTCATGTTTAAGAACAACTGAATTAACAATGTACCAGCTGATTTGGCAGCTCTTGTCCGATTTAAGGCCACATCGTCCATCTTATCACCAGATTATTGGTTTAATATCAAAAATAATTTTCTTTTGTGCTATCTTCCATAAAACATGTTCAGATGCGCTATACAATACAATTCAATAAACATGCAATAAAAATAAATGCACCTATAGGAAGACGAAATAAAAATATAAAAGTAAAATATAATAGGGTAGCTTAGAATAAATTCTGATACCAGAAGGTTTTAAAAGTTGAAAAGAATTATGAGTTAAAGGATTCCTTTAACCAAAACGTCTTAAGAAGCGACTTAAAGGAGGATAAATTAATGGTGCAGCATCTTATATTAAAAGGTAAAGAATTTCATAATTTGGGTGCCTGGACGATAAAAGCTCGTTCTCCATATGGTAAAAGTGTTGCTGATTTATTTACAAGTTAAAAATGATCAGCAGAGCACAGAGTGCGACTCGGTGTATACATTTCTAAAAGTGAAGATAAATAGGAGTTTCTGTAAAATAGGAGTAATATGATCATGATATTTACTTCCGGTGGTGAGCTTTGCTGCTGAATTTGGAACTTTTTGTAATTTGTTCGTGATGCGTAAAGGAGTGCCAATTAGTAAAGAGTTATATTGATCTAGATGAGGAGTGAGGAGTGAATGAACAGATGAAGTGGGGAGATTCTTCCGGATGTGGGCTATATGACGGAGATTAAAATAACATAATTTACAAGTATTATTTACATGAGGCTCCATTGTTACGTATTTATCAAATATAACTCAAATATTTCTGACAGACGGGACTGGTGATATTACATGGGAACCTATAGATTAATATGCGTTATGATTGACTTTGCTAATAAGATTATTTGAACCTAAATTCAGTTTTATCTTCATTCAATTTAAGAAAATAAGAAAATTATTGCTCACCCAACACCGGATATATTCAGCACAACACAACATTAAAACTATCATTTACAGTAGGTGTAAAAGAGAGAGAGATAGAGAGAGAGAGAGAGAGAGAGAGAGAGAGAGAGAGAAATGGGGTTTAATGTCCACTCGACACAAACTAGGTCATTTCGGGACTAACATATGGTTTAATTTTATTTCAATAATTCGCTTGCGCATAGGGGTCTTTAGCAGTGGGAGGAAACCGGAGGACCCGGAGAAAACCCACGAGGTTGGACAAGCGACCCTACTCCTTGTCACGTACAACCGGGGATTCGAAACCACGCCAGTCGACTCAATGACTGACTTTATGATACAGCGCGCGCACGCTAACCATTCAGCCATCCACCCCCCCCCCCCTTCTAGGTGTAAAAGACAAATATAGTTGAGTGTCGTCTGAATATAAATGAAATTCAAGACCATTTCTGCGAACTATTATTTTCGACGACAGATTGCGACCTATTAGTTAAATATGATTTTGATAGATCTAAAGCCAGATCACACATTTTAGCATGACTTCATTACCATAAACCTTCTTATTCAGCTATTTAGTATAGTCGCTAAAAATTCGATAACCTCTAATGCACCAAATTTTCTAGATACAACAACCAAAAGTTGCCCCAAAAATAAGTTGCTGTGTGTACAAAGTTTCATAAACGTGCCTTGAACGGTTGATGAGAAAATCAGAACGGACGAAAGGATCTCATTTCAATAAGTTATATAAAAGACACGAAACCTCTAATGTACAAACAAGAAATGCGAACGACAGACAAACGAACGTCTCCTTTATAACAAATGGGCATAACTATGATGGTTATCATCGAAAACCCCCAGAAATCAATGCAGGGGCGGATTAAGGGATCGGTCGTTCCAAAGGGCCCCATTCACAGGGGGTTCGAGGTTTAAAGTACTTTCGTGTCGATTTAGATACAAACTGGAACCGATGATTTCGTTCCCCATATCTAGCGAAAAACAAATGGATTAACGAAGACGGGCATACTTCATGCAATATCCTATAACGGGCCATTTTGCCCGGACAGCGTCATTTCCGCCTACTCTTCTTTGAGATCACGATGTTGTCAGTGGTGCAGGAAGGAGGCCCTGGCAAGCGGATAGTTGTTTAGATAGAACCGTAAACCTAGGAGTGTACACGGAATTGGCCAAAGTGCCACTGTCCGGGCAAAATTTCCCATATAGCTAAAATACGACCCATTAAAATTTAAAATGTGGGCGTATAGAACAGATCTATTACAACTCATGTTTTTATAGACAACTGAACTATTAACGTACTTGTGATTTCTTTTCTACAGGACATTCACCTTTACTATACCACCAATGTTTTCTCATTTCTTCTAGTATTCCATGTTCTCGTAGATTTAAAATGGCAAGTGTTAACATATCTCTGTAAAATTAACAACACGTTATAACTTGGTACAATTTATAAAATATGGTTTGATCAAACAGGATAGATTGACATATCAGGGGTAACGGCATAACCGACCAGATTTATGTGTGAGTTTATAACATATTTTTACGCCTCGACTGCAAATGGATGTTTTCTTTTTATTCATATAAACATTATAAAGGAAAAAGAGGTTAAAATTGCTCTCGGGAATAGGAAATTAATTATTTCATTAATATCCTCTTCTAACAATTGACAACTTCAATCACCCTTTAGGGAATTAAGGCAGACATAGTTTTTGACTGAATGCTGTTAACTCATCGAAAACTGACAATTCTCTCTATTTTCAAACGCCAAAGAATAATTTACATCTAGATATCTGCCCTTAATCAACAAATCGCTGGGCCCATACATAAACCACATTAAGGTCAAAATGAATCACATGTATAATAAGACAGCCAGTACGATGTTCGATCCAGTGACGACGTGTATCTTTAATTAAGCATAATAGTATACATTAATCTGTTTTTAAAAGATGCATCGTGTAAGATTTAGATAAATAGCTATAATGGCTCAAAAATTGATAAAGAAAAATTAATACATTGGTTCATGGAGCTTTTATATGGCTAGCTTTGACTAAAAAAGTACACGCAAAATTGGTTCTGTCATGTATTGAAGATAGCCACGAAAAGCCTGGAATACGCCCACACAGCAGCTTTGCTTTCAACCAAATTTTAAAAACATCTTTCAATGTCTTTAGCCTCAATCGCCTTCACAAGATATGAGCAAAATGGGGGGGGGGGACTCAGGAACGGAAGGTCGAGGGTTTTGACTATCGATAGGTATCCATAATGAAATGAACCAGCGGTTGCCATGCAAGATACACCGACAATACGATGTTTTGTATGATCAGGGACTATAATCCAGGATATTACGTTCCGATATGCATGATCATCGACAGGAAACGAGATCTGTGTGATATAGATATAAATTTAAAGTTTCATGAACATCTGATCAAAATTGTGACCTTTAGAGAATCCAGAACCTTGATAGACCATACGTTTACACTATTTGCATACGAGGGGCGGCCATTTTGTCCGGGAATTTCGGTCCTATTTTCACGAAATTCGAACTCGGTGTAACGGTGATATATTCGAACGGTTGTTTAAATCGGATACAGATTGTGACCTCTGGAGGGACCACAAGCTAAAATGACCTCTGGAGGGACTACAAGCTAAAAACGCGATTTCTCGTACAATAAGAGGCCATAACCCAGGAACTTACGGTCCGATATCCACGGATATCAACAGGAACCGAGATCTTTGGAATATACACATTTTAAGTTTCATCAAAATCGGATAAAAATTGTGACCTCATGACCACATAAGCTAAAAACGTGAGTGGAAAGTCGTAGAACCCTAAATATCGTTCTCTCATGACCACAAGGCTTGACACCAATTTTGAAAAGAATCCGCCGAAAACTGTAGTCCATCTTCGCGTTCACAGGGTTTTCGAAAGGGGGGGGAGACTCCGGAGTGAAAAGTCGCAGAATGCTGATAGGGTCCGTCCTCTCATGTCCACGATGCGTTACACCAAATTTGCAAAGAATCCATCAACAATTGTAGCCTCTATCACGTAAACAAGCCAATTGTTGACGCCGACTAATAGGGTGACGACATGTGGGCGTATAAAAACTCAAAAACCTTTTCATAAATTCTGTTTCAAAAATCTAAGCAATATTTTGATGTAATGGACTATTCAAACGTTGTATGTCATTTTCTGGGCGTAAACTTTGTCGTTTATCAGGTACATGTTCTAACAGTCTAACAAATGGGGTTTTGAGAACATATCTTTTGACTGACCTAATATCTGAACCCATAGGTGTGGCGATTCCATATCCCTTAGAATCTAAATTGCTTCCAACTTTAATTGTTTCACACGGCTTTTTATTATTATAGTAATCACTTGTGGTAGATTCTATAAGAAAAGCGTATTTTCCACTTGAATTACGAACTCTCTCTATACCCTCTCTAGTTGTAGTACAGAAAACATCTGGTTGTGATGTCATATACGACCACATTCTCTGAAACAGGTTAACTGTAGAACCCTGCAAAAAGATATTATCTATATATTAAGTTTTATTAAGCTCCAAATTAAAATATATTAGCCGGGTCACAAACTTCAAGGCTCAAATCCGTGACCATATCTCGGGGAACAAAGTTTGGCAATTTGTTTCTGATAGAAGGGAACCTAGTGAAGATAATTGTAGTTTGCTGCCTCTGAAAACTACGGTCTAACTTCAGGAGACCAGAAAATCCAAGATGGCCGCCAAAAATGGTACGATATTGAGCTTGACAAACATGGACTAAATGACTCGTGTAATAAGTCAATTTTATAGAATCCTTTGGTCGCAGGGCTAATTTATAACAATATCCAATTCATCCACAGATGGTTGATCCAAAATCCAAAATGTCCGTAGCAATTGGCGCGAAAAGTATAATCTCAATACCAATAACAATATATACAGAGGCGGACCCAGGAACTTTTGCTAAAGGGGGTTTGCCAGGCTCCTGTTAAGGATATTTGACAGTTGAGAATGCATGATGCTATCGTCGTCTCTAAATTACGTACGCATACATTCACACTGAGCGTTTTAAAGAGAGAAATCCAACAACCCGTTTGACGTCAATTTATAATGATATGCTGCACTACGACCGAAGGATTGGTGGAGGCTAGGGGCTTGTACTCTTTGGTTTGTACATCAAGGGGGTACATCAAGGGGGCACTTCGTTCCAGGTGCAAGAACAAGTTATTTCATTTATAAATCCTTTGGGCATTGAGAGTTTGTTTGCTGTGGTTACAAATATCATCACTAGGGTCCTTTCTATCAGAAAAGATCGCCACTCTTGTTCCTCGATAAATGGTCATATAAAAATCCAGCTACAACTGGTAGTTCAACTACGGCGGTAGACTACATACTTTAATGTTCATGTCTTTCGAAAGAAATTGGGTGATTTACTTACATTAAAAAACGCCATGGTACTGCCGGATTTCAACGTTCCATACTTTATTTCTGTTTGTTTAGCTAAATCCTCAGCAGACTTTATAGGTGTGCTCAATCTCATAAAAGTTAAATGGGCAGCTAGATTAGCTGTATAGGATGATATAATTATTAAAGTAAAGAACCACCATACACTAGTAACCATACGACCAGATACAGACCTGTAAGTATAAGGAGGAAAGGAATTAATTTAGTAGACAATAAAACTGTCAGGGGATTTTGGCGTATCCGTTTTGAACGACTCGTCACTGACTATCACGTGGTCGATAAATGAACAAAGAAACTTTAAACTTTATCCAGGCGCTTACCGGTAGCCAGAGCAGCTGTTTCAGCTGTAACTATTATGGAAGTTCTTTAATTACCGGGTTGTATAATCTTGTCTATCCGCCCTTATATGTAGTAAATAAAGAATCACTCGAAAACTTGAAATTCTGGAACACGTTTTAATTAAAGAACCGAAGTCTCTTACTGAATATGTTCCATAATATTGCCAAACAGCGGATATACCCGACCGTGCGTCCTATAGTTCAGCTGGAACTTCGAGATACTAATAAAATTCGTCGATTAAAATTGATACAAAAACTATGTCTTTGACGTTTAACAAAACATGCCCAATTGCATTTAGCTACAAATTTATTATAATAATAATCTTAAAGAAAAGTCAACATTAATGGCAGTGTTAAGCTAGCTCGGTATTTTTTTTATATTCAAATCTGTATATCGAAAACCGAGTAGCGGTATAATTTATAGACCATATAGGCCCAATTCAGATATACATCTGACTAAAATATTGTTTTAAAAAAATTATTAAGTTTATCTAGTAGTTTGTCATTATGGAGACAGAACCTGGGATTTTGTACGGATATCACAGTTCCCAAATCAGGATTGCATCGACTTTATTTAGTAAGGTACCTTTACTTTAGTTGATATTACAGGAATTTGAATTTATGACTGATTGGTTTGTGTTAAACATCCAGTTATTAATGTCCACACAGCAGGTTTTCGGTTTCATTGGGGATAATATTGTAGCATAACATAATATCATCAGAAAATTACCGATTTCGCACACCATGCTTCTTAGTAGGCGGTTGGAAATAGATGAGGCACGGCAACGGTTAATTGTTTATGGTTGCATTGGTACGATTTGATCCATTGCAATTTGATCCGATACAGTAGTGGTGGGGTACTTGCTATGTTGAGTATCCTATCAATTGTCATGATGCCAATAACGAATACGTTTATTTATTATCTAGTACTATTATGGATGGTGAGATTTGTGCAAAAGAACACATAGGTATAATACTATGATTGCCTTGACTAATTATTATTAACAGATTCATACACAAGCAATACAGCACGCGAAACAACGGAAATCTGTAATAATATGATATATGAATTGAACTTTAGGTTAATAAACACATTTGACAAATGTCACCTTTTGGTATGCAAGGTATGGAGCATGTCCATTCCATATTTGGCTAATTCGTGACGTAATTGGACATGAATGACCAATCACATAACTGATTTCAGCAGTCAAGGCATATAAAACGCTAGATCTGTCCAGAGACTTGTCTGCGATATCACCTCGGTGGAAGCGGGCGTTAAATAAAGCTATTTCACACACACAGAGACATTTCAGACACCAGGCAGAATTCACATCGCCTGTCATATCGCCCATTTACTTATTTGAGAACGAGGAAGATTTGTGACTAATGCTATGAGTTTATACAATAAAAGATAGAAAAAGAATCTGAACTGTAGTTATAGTTTTAGTCACGGAAGCGAATGTAACGTGAAGATTAAAGATTATAATACATATGTTCAAATAAAAAAATATTAATATTATACTTACTTTGGCAAAACATCACAACCTTGTTGCATAAAGGCTCCCAATGAAAACCACATACTGTTTCCTATCGTAAAGTCATTATGTAATTTTTTATCTCCACCTTCCACTTGCCATTCAACCACACTAAATCTACTTACAAGAAATAATACAACACTCACACCAATAAATGCAAACGCCGTACATAGCCAGATTTCTGAGGACAATGGTTCCATAAAGGAGAAGACATGAGGTTGTACATCAGCTGGTTTCTTTATCATAATACTGATACCAAGACTCATGTAGGGTTTGGTAAAATCTAATACTTGTTCTCTCTGGGATGTTATTGTTAAAGGTGCTATAGCTAGGTCAGCTTCCTGCAATATATGTGTAATCCCTTGATTTTCTTTACTTAGCAATGTTTCACTTTAATGGTAAAATGAGCGTGTTCTTGCGTTTTTAATTTGTGACGCACAAACTTACATTGTGAAGTCGACAAAGTTCGTCTTCTAAACGCATAACACCCCTTTAATAGCAAGCGCAGGAGGACAGCCCAAATCCGAAAAGATAAAACTTGCGGACAAGACAAACTACATAGACATTGCAAGAAGCAAACAATAAGTATCAAATCAATTGAATAGATAGCGTCCACTGTGCTATACAGCCCGGGCCTGTAATGGTACAGGCTTCACTCAAAATAAAAAAAACCCCAATGATTTACAGGAAAAACGTAACAGAAATACTGCGATGGTGGTCTTGAATGGCGATAATATGATCAGAAATTATAGTCACTTAAACCAAATCATGTAGCACGAACCCACGTTTTCATTTTTGGGATTCTTTGGACGAATCCCATAGAGGCTTTCACAGAAGGTTTTTCGAAATTCAGAAGTTTGCTCGATTAGTTTTAGAATCAAAGATCTGCGAAAGTTTTCTTCGGCATGTTTTCGACATTCAGGATGGCGTATCTCCGTCACTATTTCTGGTAGCAAGTTGAAAATTAGTTGGAATAAAGAACACATCGATACATTCAAAATGCAATATTAAAATTGTTTTGAAGGCTTCCGGAAACTTCCGGAAATTACCGAGGCCCCTGATCTTTCCCGAACATGAATAGCTCTTTCTATTTAAGATAAAAATAGACTAAAAGTGACATATGGTGTTGTAAGCACCCGGTATTATCTTTCATTTTCAGAGGCCATGTTCGATAACATTTTTAACCGTTATGCCACTATATTGGACCCCCCCCCCCCCCAACAAAAAAACAAAAACAAAACAAAAGCCAACCTTCAATTCGATATTTAGCCGCCATTTGTATTTTGATTTCCGAAAACTTTTTTGTGTGTTGAACCTACTCCAAATAGAAACAATTCTTACGTAGCCGGTTTCACTTTGACCTACTGTCTGGTTACCTAGCCGTTCAAAAATTCCGTCTTGAAGTATAACTTTCGGTTTTATTAAAATTTCAAAATCACAGGTTTTCCACTTTGATAGTTATTGGATGTTACTATACTCAATAGTTCATGGTGTAACTTGATTGCTGCCGTGACCCTGACGTGACAAAACGTGCCATGACGTGACATTATGGATAGCTTTTAATATACAGTAGCGCTACTGTCTGCTACAGAATAAAGCATTTTCAAACAAAATTTACAAGTATTCTCTAATACCAAATGGCGAAAAAAATATTTGATTTTGCTACGTTACTTCCCGCGTACATTACAGTTCGCGATAGTACCACATGGCATAATTATTCAACTGTTGGCCATACCGTTTACCTAAGGTACCGTCGAATATCGATATGATATGGCAGTTCTACCTTCGTAAGTAAAAATACTAGATTTAATACTTATCAATATCTAAAGATCTCGACGGGAATCGAACCACTGACCCTATGCACAAAAAGTGTAGCCAACGCCAGGTGAACACTTTATCGACTGAGCAATATACATATACCCTTCTGTATAAGGTTTCAACCTATCTAAAGCAAGTGGTTCGTTAGTTTTCGGGTAGCGGGGGTACATACACTTTCTCGTCAGTACAGGGTAAATAAATAAGTTAGGAATCGTTAATGGTTTGGTTATCATTCAAAAATAGCCGATTGAAAAAACTATATTCTTGACGTTACTTAAACCATGGTTGCCTGTGTGATTACCTTATTATTCAATACATGTAGACATCTCTGCTCATTTGTAAATTTTGTATGCTTGATAAAGGCTATTAAAATCTTGAAAATAAAAGTAAAATGATGACCCGAAGAGAAGTGTTTAGACGAAACACGTTAGTATCACATAGCGATTTTATTTCGTGATATATGTCAACAATCTGGATTTTAGTGCCTTCCAGATCAACAAAAAATACAATAAAGAAAAAACTAAAGCAATATCATACAATGGTGAAATATCAAAACTATCTCTTATGTTAGTTCTTATTAATTTGATACATACATGTCTTATTAATTCCCCTATTATACCAGTCCATGAACCATCATCCATTTTTTTACCATATTCATCATCCATTACATATCTGTAATATATATCTATATGCTAATTTTAAATAGGAACTATTAAAGGATATCTTAGAATCCCGGACTGACAGTCTAAATGTTTTAACGTGTATTATCTTATTTAGATACCAATTAGACTGTGTTATCAGGGCCGCCGGGCCTATTTATGTATACAGAAGGGGTTTACATTGGTTCGGCTTGTAGCCAAATTAGGCCATATCCATCAATGTATTTACAATTTTTCGAACGTATGTTTAAATCCCTATGCGACCAAGAAACCTTAACAAACATCTTTAAAAGCACAATGGAACTAAAATTGATTCAGATGGTAATTAGAAAATGCATAAATTCGACCCTTCAATATGTCGAATACCAAATAAATATTGTGTCAAACAAATCCATTTAATGAAATCTGAATAATCACAACAGGTAGCATATACCATCAAGTTGTTGGAGAAGTCGAAAACATTCATATTTGCTTCTTCAATGTGCCACTTGCCAAAATTAAACAAATCTGAACAACCACAACTACCAGATATTTATGTTTTAAGGAAAGTAAAATTTTGTCCCTTAAAGACGCTTCTTTACTGAACCAAACTTTACCATCACACCAAAAGAGCCTACATACCAAATGTGGTAAAAATCATTCAAGTATGTTAGTAGAAGTGGACAGACTACATAGTGGGGATGACGCAAGCTCTAGTTGCATCATGACATTTAAGTCTGCAAATATAATTAATTTGATTAAAAAAGGTTAAACGAGGGCTGGCTGAAAAGGTCTAAGTCTGAAAAAATAGATCAATTGGGTTGAGGGTTGAACAAACTTTTGCGACCAACAAGTACAGTCATTCAATGAATCATAGACATAAGAACTGCAACTGTAGTGTTATTATTGTCTTTGTACCAGACCATCTTGTGAACCTACGCATTGAAATCACCAGAAATGGACAAACTGGCTGTAGGACAGTTATCAAGTACCTGCAACTGAAAGGACTAACCACAGCACAGATACATGTCGACATGGTCTCCACTTTAGGGGATGCTGCCTTGCCCTTTTCCACAGTAAAGAAGTGGGCTGCGGAATTTAAGCGTGGCAGAGGGCGCCTTGACGATGACCTACGTCCTGGAAGACCACCATTCAAGAAAACATTACCCAGGTGCATGGCATTGTGATGGTTGATCGGCGATTGACCACTCGACATAATGTCAGTGTTGTGGGCATCTCTTATGAGAGGGTTGCGCACATTATCACCAACGAGTTAGGAATGACAAACGTTTCTACGAGATGGTTGTCAAAGCACTTGACTGCGGATCAGAAACGTGTCAGATTCCTGACTTCCCGTGACAATGCGCCGTTTTCAAGAAGATCATGATAATTTTTGGCCCAATTTGGCCCTGTCAGAGTTACCCCTGTTTCTAAAAATGAAAATGGAACTAGCCGGTCGTCATTTTCTTAATAATGATGACGTCATGTCAGCTGTGAACAAATTTTTTAGAGTGACTGAAGAAAATTTCTTCCTGACCGGCATCCATGCCTTGCAACATCGTTGGCAAAAGTGTTTATACCTCGAAAGGAACTGTGTAGAATAATAAATTGTAACCATCTACTTTATACAGGTATTTCACAGATGGGCTTAGAAATTTTCAGCTAGTCCTTGTATATTAATGCCAAAGTTGACATACCTAATATGATAATCATAGTTAACAATTCTTGATACTCGTTCTCCTAATTCAACACAATATCCTGTAAATCTATCAGAGCCTATCTCGGGTCGACCCCCCTCTGGAAACTTTCTGTCTTCTATGTACGGTGGTTCCTGGTAAAAGCAAAGTCCAATTATTATAAAAACTAACAGGTCAATGGACATTTAAAATAAAACATAGATGTATAGAGACAGTACACTATATAGAAACTACAAGATAACAACAACAGAAAACGAAAGGAGGATAGCATATCAAAGGTAGATTGCAGTAAATGCAACGTACTCCCACAGTTTTAAATCAGATTAAAATAGGGCAATAAAATATGAAAATGAAATGAAATGGAGTTTAACGTCCTACTTTTCTGCTCCTAACCTGGGCTAATGAAGACGGGCATACGCCATACAGTGTGCTATGAGGGAAATTTTGCCCGGACAGCGGCACTACGGCCTACTCTTATATCGAATTCCAACTGCCAAGGGATCTTTTACGTGCACGCCAATGTGTACACGGGACCTCGGTTTTTCGTCCCATCCGAACGACTAGACAGCTTTCCTTGTCAGCCCCTCCGTCCTGCATCACTGACAAGGGAGAACCACGCAATAAAATATGAACAGAAGGTATTGATGCTGGGGCTCACGCTAGTAACTGTTAATATGAAAACAAATTCACACAGACGGCATTGGTGTTAGAATGTATCTGCGAGAGTTTATTTCAAATTTTATTAAATTAAACAACAATTATGCAAGAGCTAAATCTGCTTATAGTGCTATTAATTAACTAAGCATGACCATAATCAACTCTCGGTGCCATCGTAGCCTGCGATATTTAGTGGATTTGAATACGTCTTGTGGTTGATAATCTAGACTTTGTTTATCATCGTAACAACAGCAGTAATGACGATCGAGGCTAGCCTAAAATGAATTCGCTAATGGCTATGTTTAGAGTGAACCAATGTGACTGAAATTTTCGGCGTATCCTCTTTTCATTATCTATTTTTTAAACTATTATAGCGAGAACTGTCAGCTCTTTATCTAATCTTACTCCTATAAACTAGACATTTTAAATACAGTTAGTGTTTCAAATAGCCAGCTGATTAGATTGTAGTTAGCTTTTAAGATGTACGGAGTAGAACATGTTTTTTAGCATACACGTTTTAATTTACATGATATCAGTTTACCAGAAGTAAAATTGTTGTGTTAGAAAGCGTCGACGAACCAAATAAAAGAAGGCCGATTTATCAAAATCAATTCAAAATTACGTTACGATCAATCAGATTGTAGTAGATAATTCAATATGTATGGATTTTAAAACTTCCGCGAGAGGCGTGGTGTTTTATCAAAATCCATTTACTAGAAATAAAAATATTCCTTTATGGGAGCTTAGCGGAATATTCAATTTTACATGTCATAGCCATCACATTCGCTGTATTATGCGGGGCCAATACAACAATCCCGTTTCCTCCCACTGCTAATGATCCCTACGCGCAACCGAATTATTGAAATAAATTGAACAGTGTGTTAGTCGAGTGGACGTTAAACCCAATTCTTTCTCACTCCAATACAACAATATGTTTTATCCTGGGTATATAAATGCTTTAAAGGACAATATTGGTGTCAGTCATTATCACATATGGATAGAACTTGTTAAATACGTTCCAAATATAATTGACTGTCACTATATAAGAAAAAACGAGAAAACTATCCTTCATTACGCATCTATCGTAGCAATGATCTCTGTGTTAAAATTATATCTGGAAAATGTTTAACGAGTTCTATCACATATGTGATAATGACTTGACACCAATATTGTCCTTTAAGATACTTACCTTAATTGAGACAACAATGCGCGTTCTGTTATCTATAGTTCTGTTAGCTTTATCTAATATAGGAGTGGGCCCTTTTGGTATATAGCCATCACTATTCCACACACCAGCCTAATTTGCATTTAATAAAGAATTATAATTATATACATATTGAGCCCGAGAATGCGAATATTGCAATATGTAACATTTTGTTAATTTTCATATTTAAAACGGGAGACCATCATCACAACAGATCCAATTAGCTTATTAATAAATTTATTTATTTTTGAGAGACATGAATATTGTAAATGGTAATCATTTAGACAAAATTACTAACAGGGTGTATCCCCCGGTACATGGTTACTTCATTTACTTCTAATGTGAAATTCCTCCTCTGACCTTTATCTGTAAATGCTAAACTTCCACTTTGACCGTTAAATTCTGTCTAAACAAAAACAACATTGAGAACTGTTAGGCTTTCATAGACAAATTCAATATATTAGCTGTCAAGAGTATTCTCGACTTTAGGCTAACAGAAATATAAAAACACAAAAGGGGAAAGAGTTTGAGTCTGTCAGTATAAGTACCACAGGACATAATATTGTCTGTAACTGAAATCAAATTAATTACCTTCAAAGTCTACGTTATGTAATAGAGGCACACTTTAGTCTCTCTGGGAGTTGTCTGTCTTAAAATATCATAAGACATCACATAACGGAAATTACAGGTTTCTTGAACGTACAAAAGTAACAATAACGGTTGCTGTCGTCGATGTTGGATAAGGAAGATGGAATGATGGAATTTCATACAAAAAAGACAATTAGTTATCGAATTGCTTACTATCCAGACCCAGATACATTTGTTTAAACCTCTGACAAATCCAAATGTCATAATTTTCTATATTCGCTTTCAATAAAAGAATATAATTAAGAATATTTCATTAAGTTTAATTATTGTTTTGCTGAGAGTAATTACATGTCTTAAAATCATTCCTTTGCAATTTACAGTCATCAAATAGTGTCACGTGACTTAATACACAAACCTTTGACATTACATCGGCTAAAGAATTGCCATATCTCCATAAAATAGATTTGTCTGTGATACAATTGACTTCATCAGAATATGTATCACGCCAACCATGCAGTTTGTGAAAGAGTCGTTCCGATCCTGTACGTCTCTGTAAATGTTCTAGAGATCTGGTGAAGAAAGTGACAGCATCGACAGCATAATCCACTTCAGACTGTTTAAATATATAAATCTTTATTCATGTTAATTGGGTATTTGCAACAAAACAAACAGAAAATGTCACATGTTCGCGTTTAAGATATTTACAATGGAGCATTTTAGAAATGCTTGTTCAATACTAATAATGTTAGCTCTAATAATAATATATTGTCTGTCAGTTAAATGTGTAGTAAAGTTTTCTGAGCCTTTTTATTGTATCATTTACAAATTTGAACATTCATTTAATGAATCTGTATAAGGAAGTTTCTGTATGAACCATAAACATATCAGTATACAGAACACATTAAATCATTGTATTATTTACAAATCTGAACATGTTTTTGTAATGAATCAGTTTGCACCATAAACATAGAACACATTAAATCATGTGTATTTGTCGAAAAATGAATTGTCCTAATTTATTTAAACTATAGAACTTGTAATGAAATGAAATGGGGTTTAATGTCCTACTGTTCTGCTCCTAACCTAGGCTAATGAAGACGGGCATACGCCATACAGTGTGCTATGAGGGAAATTTTGCCCGGGCAGCGGCGCTACGGCCCTACAGCCTACTCTTATATCGAATTCCAACTGTAAAGGGATCTTTTTAGTGCACGCCAATGTGTACACGGGACCTGGGTTTATCGTCCCATCCGAACGACTAGACAGATGTCCCTTTCAGGCCCCCCGACCTGCATCACTGACAAGGGGAAACCACGCCGGAAAATCGGGATGAACTTTCATGGCCAATGCAGGGATCGAACACCCGACCTCCAGACTAGCGAGCCAGCGTCTTACCCACTTAGCCACGTGATCCCCCTATAGAACTTGTACCAAGAGAGGTGTCAATTTACTATACGTGTTATATGTAATAAAACAATAACCTCAGCTAATCCGGAGGGAAAACTAAACTGCGAAATACCAATGTTTCTAGTTTTTAACTGAAATCCAGTGACGTTTACACCACCAACTTCTAACACAGTTAAATTTAACTCCATCATATTCTGGAAAATATCAAAACAATACTCTCTATGGGGTAGAATAGTTAGAAAGCATGACCTTGAATATCACCTATTCAATATAATCAGATTATTTTTGTCAAGTGAGCGAGGAATATAATTTGTATAGAAATAATACCAATACGTCTCTTTTAATGTATTGGGACATTTCTTTTATCTGATTCAAATCCCAGAGTCTCGATCTGATCGAAAATAAAACAAATAGACAGGTGAGTGGGTGCTTCATAATCACGAAAAGCCGAAAGTTGTGTATTATTGATTGAGCCCGGGCCCCTTACAGGTAAAAATGCACGGCATAATATGGTAATACGGCGGTGATTTCGACCATGCACGATGTAACGTTGAACGGGATGATTATAAAACACCAATCTATCAACAGTTTCTTTTCTTGCTCAAATCTAATAAACTGATAAAAATCTTACATAAATCTTACATACCACATGTGGTAACAAAAAGTGAAATCTCATTTTCAATACTCCTTTATCACCCATCTGCAAAAACAAACAAATATAGTTTTACATTCTGTTTTTTTTGGATATCCACATGTATCGTTAATTATAATACGTAAGTAACTGTGAAGTAAAAAAGAATTGACTGTATTGGTATGATCATCCTGCAATGTAGTTTATTCATGCACAGTGGTTATACTATTATTTCTGGCACTATTGCACTTTTAGCGTTTTGCACCTCTACCAGTTTCTGTGGTCGTAGAAACTTGATATTTTCAGGGGATGTTAAGGGTGATTATTTTCCGACCTTTTATTTTCTGATGGGTAGCCTGGAAATCTGTTATTCCGATTGTTCTTTAATGCGACAGTCCGTTATTTGGGTACCCTGTTATATACCCGTGTTTGATATATACAAATTAATGGTCCGGAAATCTGATAGTCCGTTCTTACTATCTTCCCTCATCACGACAGTATTATCGGTAATAAGTTGATTCGGAACATGGCTGATTCAGACCAGACTCTTTGCTGATGCGGACCAGATACTTGGCATTTTCGGACCAGATTCTTGGCTCATTCGTACCATGATAAGATGTAGCATAATTGGTCAAATATGGAAGCGGAACCACAATGCTTACCAAAATCGACGGTAAATACTATTCCTGCTACGCATCTAGGCATGACTTCCAATATAATGTCACAACTCTCAAATGTTGGACTTCACGTTATTGACATGCTGTCTTAAAATACTTGAGGATGACACAGACTAAATGTGAATTCTTCACAGACTTGACAACCAAATCGTATATGTATCAGGACCACGACCACGGGGATTTTCTTAAAATGTTTTTTAAATCAACCAGGATACAAAGTTTACAAGCACAAATCTATGAACTTATATATAATAATAACTTGTCTCTCAATCCATCCAGCCCAGTCTAGCCAGCGCCGAGGCTATAATATTGCTACAAAGGCTCATTCAGACCATTATTTGAATGACAAGACATGTTTACATGTATTTAATAATATGACAAAATGACAAGCATCATATTCAGGGTTTGAATGTGCGCTTGACGACGCCTTCGATGTGTGGCGTACATGTTAGCCGTGAGTCGAGGGTGATGTCAAGGAACTTCGTCTCTGAGTTAAATTCTAATTTTGTGCCGCTGATTTTTCTATTTCTGAAAGCCAATCCAATACCAGAAGATCTAGATAACTGGCCAACGTCAAATAATCGTTTATAGAAAATAATGGCTCGTCGCAAAAATTAAAATATTTTAAGTTTGATAGACAGTTCTGGTGCAGACAGGGTTTGGGCCCCTTCCGGTGAGTAATACTGGCATGATGAGAAAACGAAGGCAGCTTGATCCAACTTACCCGCACCTCACTCGCAGATCATTTTTCTTCTCGGATTTGGGTCAATATATTATTCAGTGGATGCGAATATTTTATTTATTTCGAAAAAAAATATATATATGTCAGTTTTTTCCCAATCGTGGCCGATGGGCTCCTGACACCTCTGGGCCCTCGTGCTACGTCTGATTATCCGAGACAGTTGACGCCCCTGTGACAGTTGACGGTCCGGAGACCTGTCATCCGTTATTCAAACTTGTAGTCCTCGAGTTTAATGGAAATCTACCAGTCCGTTAATTTAAGCGTCCAAAGTAATACAGTCAGCAACATAGTTGGACGTTCCGACCTTGGGAATTGGATTGGCCTTTGCGTATGACTATCACCTTGATTTGATTTTCACGATGAAGGTCTGGGCGATCCGCCACTCGACTGCCTAAAGATCGAGGTCCGTACAAAATGAAAAGCTCCACCCCGATAGGACGCCGTTTTTAAGTTAAAGGGCTTTCTATCTAACCTGAGGGCTATCGAACGAAAAGACTATCGGGCCATATTTGGAATAACGAGTGGGTAGAGTAAACACTGACCCAGACGAAAATTATTATTATTATGAACTGGAGCGTTAGGCAGAAAGCTCAGTATGTCTAAAGCTGCGTTCACACTACATGTGCATTCAATACGAATTCCCTAGACTGACCTCTGAAATTCGGATTGGTTTGTCTCGGATCAAAACCGGTGAGTCACACTACAGCTTATTCTGATTGATTCCAAATGAAAGGCGCCACACTGAATGCGCATAAGTAGCAGAGGTGAAGGGCATTCATATCTAAAGCTGCGTTCACACTAGGGGTTTAATCTGAAATGAATTCAGAATAAAGTCTTATTCCGGACTTTGTCGTCACACTCAATTCGATAAAAACCGAATTGAATCTGAAATAACGAATCCGTATATTTTTCCGAATTCAACCCGGAACAATTATTCCCAATCGGGTTATTCGCAGTCAAGATTTGAATGTGACACGCTTGATTCAGATCAACAGTTTTACCGGAAACTTAACTTTACGCGCATGTTGGGATGTAGCCTATGTAGCTATAGCCCTTCGTCCTGAAACAAATACTGCGGTAACATAACTAGCTAACGATAGGTTGTCAAATAACGAACCATGCGCCCACAGCAGCTAAGTCATCCAAGCAGTCAACAGGGGTTGTGGCATACTTTTTCTTTTGCCAATAATGCAAACATTTACAACACACTTAATTCTGATTATGAGTTCTGCCCTATACTAACATTCAATATCATGGGCCATAACTCTGGCAGTAATTATCGTAAATCGTTCAAAATCAAATGGCTTCTTCATCCATGACCTTAAATACTGTGCATAAATATCTTGGGCCATAACTCTGGCAGTAATTATCGTAAATCGTTCAAATTCAATCTGCTTCTTTATCCATGACCTTAAAACACTGTGCATACATTTAAATCAATCAGATATTAACATTAGCCTCTAGCGCGTCGGACGGGGCGACGACAATATACGACCACATTTCAATGTGGGCATATAAAAATCCAAATACGATTTCGTCTGCACCAGAATCAAAAGCGAATGAGGGTGATTACTCCTCTGGCCGCGTTTGCTATACATCAACAAGTATGTACATGTACTTCACTCTCGACTCTGTACTAGCGAAGATGCATTTCATAATTAAAATCCTTTCAGCACTAACAATGCACAATGCAAAGCAAAGAAATTTGTTGTCATTGTAATCGAACTGCACACAATACAGGCTAGAGACTAGACTCTACACGACTCAAGAAGTCTGGAACTGGCCTGTCCTGCCCCTAATGTCTAGGCCTTAAATGATCAGCCGTGATCTGAACACACCACATCTTTGTATTTGGATTTTTAACTGGTTATGCTACTACAGTATATGTCTCAGTGACGTAGGGTTGCGTCTATAGGCTATACCCCAACTGATTTATTTGCAGAATATTTGCCCGAAAAATATACACGTTTCCCTCCAAGCGATAAAACGAAGTAGAAGTGAACATGCGCTAAAAGTTATTCGGATCCGATAAACCCGTTAATCTGAATCAAGCGCGCCACACTCAAATGTTGACTGCGAATAACCCGAGTAGGAATAGTTGTTCCAGATTAATTCGTAATTTCAGATTCAGTTCGGATTTTAGCGAAATGATTGTGCCGCCTAAATCCGGAAAAAGACTTTATTCTGAATTGAATTCAGATTAAACCCCCAGTGTGAACTCACGTCCAGTGTCTTGTTATTCGAGTCTAAATAGTAAACTCACATCATGGCGACGATCGGGAAACGTAGCTCTAATCAGAAACTAAAAGGTCGGTAAAATAAAAAATTATTAATCGATTCGGCTGTGGTGTGGGGTTCATCTCCTGTCATCCTTAACATCCCCTGAAAATTTCAAGTCTCTACGACCAAACGGAAACTGGTAGATGTGCAAAAGTGCAATAACGCCATTATTTATTTGGCAACCATGAAATTAAAATACAAACCAGTGCTCTCAATAGATATTCTGTATCTAGTGGCTCCAAATCCAGTATTATTCGATAATTATCACCACGGTTGGCCACATATAGCAGTTTCAAACTATCATAAGTATGAAGAATGTTTTCAACATGGCGAACATCTACTTCTGGTGAAGTGTATATTCTATGTAAATGATCCACCGTTTCCTCCATTCGACTTAAAGCTGAAAAGAAAACATCCTTGACAATATATTATACATTATTTACGTAAAGTTATATATAAAGTAATTATATGACAATAACCCTGCACGTTAGTTTCAAGACTTCTGCTTCAGGTCAACATTTTGCATTCTATTATATGAATAAAATAAATTATAAGCAAATGGATGAATAAAGTGAATTTAACTGCAGCAACAAAATGAAAGAAATCAATAGGGTTCAGTTTAGGGTTATACGTCAACAATTTATACCATCATGTTCCACGGAGTGTCTTTGCGACATGATAGAACTAATAATATAGAGACAAGAATAAACACAAAGGACAGGCTATTGAGAAATGGGAAAGAATATGGGTTGCAATTAAAGGGGTTTCTGAGCACAAATACCACGGGAATCATGAATGACTACTACAAGACAGTTTGTGCGGTAGTGTACCCTGACTGACACGCCCAAAATGACACGCCCCACAATTAGGCTAGATTAGCTAAAGTGTGTACCCCCCCTCCCAAAAGTATGGCTTTATCAGTTTGGTCAGACGTATTGCGAATTTTGCGTTATACACATTTTCTGACCACTGATATACCACCCATCGGTGTTTAAAATATTATATGCATCCTAGTGGAATGAGCAGCTACTTTTAGGAGGTATACCCAAGCTGATCGGATTCAGCGGGTAAAGTTCTCATAGAAAGCACTTTCATACCGAGGTTCTAGAGAATCCGTTCCGAATATTACCCCCTAAATTAAAGTAAATAACCAGAAAATGTCTCTTGACAGCTATCTTGAATATTAAAATTTCCCAAAGGGTGCCAGGGTGGCATCATTCAGATTCTGAGCCAGGCCTATTGTCATACCATTAATCATTCTTCAAACGATTACTTAATCTTTAATTGGCATTACATGTACATACTTAGCCGTCGTGTGATACCGGGGGTGCTGAACAATTTCCAAGCAAGTTTTAGGTGGGACACACGTGCACCACCGCACAAAACTTTTTTTATAAACAACATTCTTATTCAGACTTGTATCTGAATAGGGATTGGGGAACAGGCCAAGCCTATATTAAACCCCTCTCCCTGTCAGATATAGATACCTATATTTACATTTTATAAATATTGTACAAATGAAGATATAAATAGTGTGCGTGTGTGGTGATTTCGAAAAACGAGTGGACAGTTTAAATATTAAGTGAGATTTCCGTGTCGTCAACTCCATGCAGTAAAATATTTGTATTTCAATGGGTAGACGTAAAAACTGTCCTTTAGTGGTCTTTCTTGGTGTGATGGTGCTGACAACGTCCAAGCAATTTTAGGTGGCACAGACTTCAGCAAATCTATACTAGTTGCGAGGCGTGCCATTTGTTGACGTGTCCGTCAGGGGTTCCCAACCGCACAGACTGTCTTGTAGTCGCCATTCATGATTCCTGTGGTGGTGCTGAACAACTACCAAGCAGATTTAGGTAGTGCAGACTTCAGGTTATGTAGCCTTGCTGCGGTGCGTGGCATTTTGGGCTGTCTGTCTTGTAGTGATCAATCTTGATTTCTGGTGGCGCTAAAAAAAACTTCCAAACAATTTAGGTGGTACCGACTTCAGCCAATCTAGCCTAGTTGCGGGGCATGACATTTTGGACTGTCTGGCAGTGGTAATTCATGACCCCTGTGGCGTTGCTAACCAATCTAGCCTAGTTGGGTGGGGGTGGGGGTATTTTAGGCGTGTCTGTCAACCCGTCTGGCAATGGTCATTCTTGATCGATGTGGTGGTGTTCAACAACTTCCAAGCAGTTTTAGTTGGTGCGGGCTGTAGCGAATTTTTTTTGTGACCCCCCCCCCCCCCGGTTACGGGCCTGCAGCGAGATAGCGTTGTTTCCGCATAATCCACCAAAGATACTTTTGCGTGCTGGCCAATTTGTACACGGACAAACTGCCGTGTTTCATATTACTCGCACATTGTCAATTAAGAATTTGGAACTGGAACAAAATGTTGGATGTAGAAGAAAGAAATGGGAACTTAAATCGAGATTTTGGGACTAATCACTTAACAATAGGCACTTATAAATATGACCCCGTGATATTTCCATATACATAATCCCTCTCAGAGATTAGAGCTGTAGAAAGTGGTACCATGTAGACTATAAATAGCACGCTTACGGTGCTTATGTAAAAATGCCAATGGATAGATAAATAGTTGATTGAAAAGATCAACAACATCAATAGGACAACATTATTATAGTAATCCTGCCCAGAAGACAGATAATTGGACCTCCAAATTAATTTGGGATTATAGTGATCAAATATGAATAAATATAATTATTTAAAATCAACGAACAACAAAGTCAAGCGGTGTGTAAAAATGCCCCCAAACTAATATTGTTCCATTGAAATATAGGCATATGGATTCAGGATACCATATCGTACGCCACATCCAGACAATGTAAGTAAGTTAAAGTTCAGCGTATTTCTTTAGATTTTAAATGAAGCCTCATTATGTTCTTTTGCGATCCATTTTTCAATTAATCTACATAACAATACATTTGACAGAATACTAGTGATTTAAGGTTTGTAACTGTAATGAACCAGACTACATATGCCTTTTTCCAGACATTTCCGACAATGTGTATGGCCACATGGAAATATCCCCTAGAGGGAAGCGCCGACCGCCTGGAAACCGGCCGGAACCTCCAAAAGATATCGCTAATGCACATGCAAATTGACTGTACATCATAATAAATTAATATATTGTAGAAACTAATGGGTGTATTTATATATGAATAAGTACAGACTGAAAGCGGTATCCATTAAAACAATCAAATGGAAATGTCCCTTAGAGACCCTTAGAGGAAAGCGCCAAACGCCTGGCACTTCACTGACTAAATATTATCAAAGCTGTGCTGCACGTAAAAATGTCCCCACCGAGGAGCGTCAACCGCCCGAAACCTCCAAAAAGTTATCGCTAATACAAATGCAAATTGATTGTACATCACAATGAATTAATATACTGTAGAAACTAATGGGTGTATCTATATATGAATAAACAAAGATTAGAAGCCGAATCCACCAACCAATTAAGAACGAAAGAAGTAGAATCAAGCAACATAAACACACAGTATTTGTACATCTAGATGAATACACAGATGTATATCCAAATGACTTTATTTATATCATACTCATCGCAGTGTTTCGTTTGATTAGACCTAAGCCCAGCTATAGAGGAATTTCTCAGGTCATTGCTCCAGGAAAATGTATTTATATAGGAATTAATAAAGATTATAGTTCATACATTTTTCTTTTTTTTTATCTTTTCGGGCACTGGATTCTTCTTCCTTCACAGAACCAACAACAAAGGAATGAACAACCAAAACAACAACCAACCGACATTGACCCACGACTAAAAATGAGACATGAAGGAAGAACTGACCATGCCCAAGACTAACCAGAAAGTTGCGCCGCCTTGCCATTCGACTGAATTTAACGACCAGACATTGTTATTTTGTGATTTTACTATTATTCGTTATATGTACATCTTTGCATATCTATTTGTTTGTTCGTTTCTTTTGTTTTATTTGTTGTAAGTAATATATTATATCGACTAAATCGCCATTTTGTAAATATTTATCTTATACTTCTTATAATGTTATCTGTTTCATTTGTTTTATCTGCTTGTTTTTTTTTGTTTATTTGTTGCTTAATGTCACTGATCATCATTTGAGGGACTTTGAACTACAATATTGTGAAAGTTTCCCTAAAAGGGCTATCAGTCCTTTCAGTATTTACAAAGATGCTATGAATTGAAAAACTATGTATATTTCCTTTTGTAATTATTTATCAATTCTGGTATTGTTGGCGATATCACTTGAGTAGAAAGCTATTTCGCACACGCGTTATGTTATAGATACTATAGAAGTGTGTATTTTCATATAGAATTTTACATACATGTTTAATGTAACAGAAATTCAATTGCATATTTTATTTTGAAATTAAAGTAACATTTCTTAAACAAATTAACTTAAATTTCAAATACGGTGAATAAACTTATTGATAAATCGACGGTGACGTAGATGGATAAGAATATTGACGTATTAAAGAGATACCAGAAGAGTTCTTTATTGTATGTTATTTTAGTATAGTTTTAAGTATGTATCGCCTAAGACTTTTCAAACAATATAACTGGAAACAATATAATTACGCAATATGGCACTTGAAGGATTGGGTTAATCAAGATTGGTTTCTAACCAATCAATGGCCAAGCCTCTAGTTACTCTTGGCGTTTCGAAAAATGATTAGGTGCTATCCACCAATCAAATTACTAGAAAATAAGTAGACATGTTATTTATGTTGGATTCGGGTATTCGACTTTTAAATTCGCGAACAAATCGCCTTTAAGAAATGCTTTAAAATAATATTTGCGTAGAAATAAAATAAAACCAAGTACGAACAATCCAAACAATTAGACAAAATTCGAAGTCCTAAAAAAAAAACGTAAAGGCAAAATAGTGTAATAAGGCAAAATAGTGTAATCAGCATATGGACTGTTCACCGTGTACAAAATACACGACAAACAGTAGTAACAGGTGTCCGGAAGAGTAAGCTTACCCTGCCTGGCGCCACACCTGCCATAGCTGCATCCAATCTATTAGACGAAATCTCGGGAAAAAAAAGCGTGATTGACCAATGTACATGAAGATCGCCAGTAATTATAGTAAAGAAAAAGTCAGGAGAATGGAGATTTGCAGTTGACCATAGGAAATTAAATAAAGCAACAAAACCATACTATTTTCCTATAATATGCTCTGAAGATGTAAGAGATTTTGTAGGCGAAGTTCAGGCCAAAATAGTTTCGGCACTGTACTGTGCTAGCGGATTTTCGCAAATCGAAATGGATGAAACATCTTGACATAAAGCCGCATTTATTACACAGGAAGGTGTTTATGAATGGACGTGTATGCTCTTTCGATTAACTAATCCCACTGTAATATTTCAAATGGTTATGACACACATATATTAAGAGAC